TCTATCCTTCTACTGTTTGTATTTTTGTATTTAAATTGTGTTTTATAGATGATATCCTACAGTTGGTCTTGGTTTTTTTCACTCCGTCTGACAGTTTCTGCCTTTTAGTTGGGATGTTTACTCCATTTACATTTAATGCAATTGTTGATAAGGTTGGTTTTCCACTTAGTCCTCTGGTTTTTTCAAGTGTACAATTCTGTGTACAATTCACAGAATTGTGTAATATCATTCCCAAAAGACAATTAATACCTCTTGGCAGCCACAACCCATTTCCTCCAATCTGTATTCCCAGGCAACCACTAAACTGCTTCTTATCTCTGTGTTTTTTCCTGTTTTAGGTATTTGTTATAGGGCTTATCATATAATATTTGCCTTTTTGTGTTTGGCTTCTTTCACTTAGCACAGTGTTTTCAAGGTTCCTCTGTGTTGTAGTATGAATCATGTACTTCATTCCTTTTTATGGCTGAAACATATTCTGTTGTATTGATACACATTTTATCTATCCTTCAGTTCATGGACATTTGCACTGCTTCAGCTTTTTGGCTATTGTAAATTATGCTGCTATGTATGCACATGTGTGTACATGTTTTTGTATGGATGTATATTTTCATTTCTATTGAGTATGTATACCTAAGAGTGGAACAGTCTGAGTCATATGGTAATTCTTTATTTAACTGTAAAAAAATTTTTTTTTAATGTGTTTTCATTTTTGTGAGAGAGAGACAGAGCATGAGTGGGGGAGGAGCAGAAAGAGAGGGAGACACAGAACTCAAAGCGGGCTCCAGGCTCTGAGCTGTCAGCACAGAGCCTGACAAAAGGACTCAAACTGTGAGGATCATGACCTGAGACAAAATTGGTCGCTCACTCAACTGACTGAGCCACCCAGGTGCCCCTGTGTTTAACTTTTAGAGCACCATGCCAAACTTTCCCAAAGTGGCTACACCATTTTACTATTCCACCAACAGTATGTGAGGGTTCCAGTTTCTCCACATCCTAGTCAGCACTTGTTATTATCCATCTTTTAATTTTCACTCTGCTAGTCTCATTGTGGGTTTAATTTGCATTTTCAAATGATTGATGATGTTGAGCATCTTTTCTTGTTCTTTCTGATATTTTGTTCCTCTGTTGGCCCTTCAGTGCTTTCTTTTTGGGTTATTTTTGTTAGTATGTTACTTTATTTCCTCTGTTGGGTGTGTGTGTGCGTGTGTGTCTGTGTCCGTATCTGTGTGTTTTAGTGGGTCTAGAGCTAGCAGTATGCATCCTTAAATTATAAATAGCTATTCAGGGGTACCCGGGTGGCTCAGTCAGTTAAGTGGGTTCAAACCCTGTATGGAGCTCCATGCTATCAATGTGAAGCCTGCTTGGGATTCTCTCTTTCTGACCCTTCCTCTCTCTCTCTCTCTCTCTCTCTCTCTCTCTCTCTCTCAATAGATAGATAGATAGATAGATAGATCAATTTAAAAAAAGAAGATATTCAGAATTCTTATTGTGCCTTTTCACATATTACCTGACGCTTCAGTTTTCTCAATGCCAATAATATTTAAGGTCCCATCCAGCTTCCATTCAAAAAAGGTATTTTGTCTTTTTAAAGATTATTACATATTGATTTCCAGTTGACTTTTAGTACTTTTTTGTTACCCAACATAAATAATCATAAAGGCATGTAAAATTTATATTATATGTATGCTTCTCTGCTAAAAGATATATTTCATATTTTAATTTAAATTCTTTAATTTAAAATTTAAATTCTTTAATTTAATTAAATTCTTTAAAATTACCATGATTTTTTAACTTATCCTGGCTGTCATGTTGATTTTAGGATGTTTGGGTACGGCAGCCACTATATGGCCCTAGAAAAGATATGTTATTTAAATTTTTTTGTTCTGTGTCTTTGTATGATCTTTAATAAACAGTTTATTTAAAAAAAAAAGAATAAACAGTTTCTCAGATGTTCTTAGCCTTTTACTTGTTGCTTCACTTGGAACCAAAATCTTTCTCCTAATCCAGTGCTTGGTGTTAAATGTGGCTTAACTATTCACACATGTATTTCATCTGCTTCAGAAATACTTGTAGCCAATGAAAGAAATGTAATTTTTTCATTTAGGTCTCCATTATGCTACCCATGATGACATGTCTTAATTGTTCCCCTGCAAGTAGACTGTGGGATACCCTTTCGTGTCTCAGAGAACTAACACATGCCTCAAAGAACTCAAGAGTCTTCTTTTCATCTGTGATCATTTAATATAGATTGCAGATATTAAAATGTGTTGCCCTGCATCATCAAGAGGCCAGCTCCAAGCAGCCAAGATTTGTGCTAACATACTTTACTCTGGTCATGCCATCCTTGCAAAATTGGTCTCACCCGCAGAAGCATATACTGTCTGAAGCTAATTGGTGGGGTTCTCAAAAATAGCTAACTTTGCGATTTTGGAATAAGGAAAAGAGCGGTGTTTAAGAGCATTTGGAACTTTTTCAGACCAGAGAAAAGTGAAACTGGTTGTGTTCAGAACTTTTGGTTAGTTTGATTTTTCTGTTAACCATATTCTATTGAGACATTTCATTATAATTCAGAATTTCATTTTAATTCATTACATTTCAGAAAGTTGAGAGGTATTTGAGTCATTAAGAGAGAATTGCATCGAGCTACATAGATGAAAAAGTCAGGAATGTTCCAGCAATTTTCAGCAGCATGGTGCCTATACAGTCTTCTTCAAGAAACAAAATCTGATCATCCACACAAAATTGTGGGCGTGCTCTTTTTCAGGGGGAGAGGGTATATGGTCTTAATCAAATTCTTGAAGAGCTTTATGTCCTATAGATTAAGAACCACTAAATAGAAAGTGTTAGCCTGATTTTTGGCTTCCTGCAGGCTTTTTGTTTTAAATGCCTTTGAAACATTTTTCCCCCCTTTTGAATTTCTGATGTTTTAAGAAAGGGATATAGATTTATATGAGGCGGTTTATCTAGCTTGAATTCTAAGCCCTCAAGTATCTCTTGGTAAGGTATGGAGATGTCTTAAGAAAACTTTAGCAAAAGCAATGTAATTGAAACTGAGTAGGATAATAGGGCTATTGGAAAGGAATCTCAAACATGCACTTCTTTGAGACAAGTAGAGGCTTTCAGACAGATTGTAGGCACAAAGAACAACACTGTTTATACACATTCAGTGTTTGCAGGACTGGTATGCTGGTGCTTCCTTTGCCTCACATTGGAATTAGAAGTTTCCCTAGCCTGGTCCAGCCTGACTCCTGCCACATCCTCCAGCGAAGCTGCCGTTCTGGTGAAATAATCTCAGTATTATAGATTCCATATTTTATTTTACTGCAAGAAAAACATGCCTTGTTGCTTGGAGTACTATGTGTACATTAGAAATTATAGAGGGGTGCCTGGGTGGCTCAGTCGGTGAAGCATTCAACTTCAGCTCAGGTCACGGTCTCATGGCTCCTGGGTTCAAGCCCCACGTCAGGCTCTGTACTGACAGCTCAGAGCCTGGAGCCTGCTTCGTATTCTGTATCTCTCTCCCTCTCTGCCTCTCCCTTGCTTGCACTCTGTCTCTCTCATGTGCTCTCAAAAATAAACAACAATTTTTTTTTTTAAATTCTAGAAAGCATGTAGTAAAGGGCTATTGTACCAAAGAGATTGTAATCTTCATACACTTTGCTACCAAAAAAACAATTTTAAAAATACACCCCATTTTATTTTCTAATTCACCATTGCCACAGTATCTGCTTTTTACCGCCAGTTTGAGCTATTCTTTGTCCAGCTCCTCCCTCCTGAAGGGGCAGTAGCAGCTTCACAGGCAGTGGAGAGAGGAAGTAGTCCATACCCACTAAGGTTCAAGCCCAGGTATTCATATGCCAGTGCTTATGCTTTGAATGTGAATGCTGCAATCAAATCAAATTTGTGAGAGCCTTGATATGCGGAGGTATTTTGCTGCATAATAAGCTAACTCTGTTCACATTTTCCCCAGTTGATGTATCAATAGTAAGGAGGTAGTGTCTTCTCTCTTTGAAAAAGCAAAATGTTTAATTTCTTATTTGCATAAGGCCCTTTGATTTTTTTTTCCCATGAATATTTCCTCTGACTTTTTCTACAAACATAATTACCACAGATTGTCAGTCAACATGGTACATGCCTCTTTTTAAAATTACATTGACATATAACTTCTTTAGAGCTCCTTGCTTAGTGAGAAAAAAATTTTAATCAAGCAATAGGTGAAATTGTGCCCAGATTTGTTAATAGTTGAGAGATAGAATAACCATCCAACAACTAAACAGCTCTTTATTTTATATTAAATACAAGGCACATTTAGGTACTAATCAAAATGCAGTTTATAGAATTGCCAAACTCTAATCAAGAAAAATTTAAGTTGCCATCAAACTGTCTTAAATGTTTCCTATAGAAAAATTAATCTTCAAAATTTAGAATATAGTATTTTGTGATAAGCTTTAAAGTGTATGTAACAATACAAAATTGTATTTGCATATAGGAGTAGCTGCTTGTATTCTAGAGAAGTTTTTTCCATCTTTGTTTCTTAACCTGAAATATGAATTAATTAGGTTAGGCAAACACTGAATTTCTTTTTTTGTTTGCCATCTCAGTTACAGATCTAATTTTGACTGCTATCCATTCAAACTGTATAGTCTCTTTTTAATTGCATGAGTGAAGGTAAGACTTGCCTGTTTCACAATCTATACCATTGATTATTAGAACTTTTATCTTTTCACCAGAACATGCTGTTTGTGGTTTGAAGTACAACAACTTATTCTGTGAGAAACCCTCTTACCATATTTATCTTCTTTGGAATTTGACAGTATATGGTCCAAGTAGATGGTATAATAACATGAAACTTCAGTAAGGGGCTTTGAGACAGACCCCTTTTACTTCCTGCTTTCTGTTTAAGATTTGTCAACTATCAAGCCATCAGTTCTCTCCCCCTTTTCTACCCATCCTCTGTAATTTATACTAATGTATTTTTGTGTTTGGGGCCGTATGGTTAGGCCTCAGACATTCCACAGCTACCTAGAGGACATCATCAACTACCGCTGGGAGCTTGAAGAAGGGAAGCCCAACCCTCTGAGAGAAGCCAGTTTCCAAGACCTACCCCTTCGTACTCGTGTGGAAATCCTACACCGCCTCTGTGATTATCGGCTAGATGCAGATGATGTCTTCGATCTTCTCAAGGTGCTCAACTGGCAAACCCTTTTCCTAGAGCAAAAAAAGCAGACAATCAGGATATAAAATCTGATGACGTTAAGAAAAGCTAGTTTGGCTTATGTTCCTAGTCTTGGGACTCTTAATTAATGTATGCAATGACCACTGTAGCCAAGGCAATCCAAGCCATACATTTAGATGACTATATGTTATTTTGGTTTAATTTCTAGTTTGGTTTTGTCTTTATGTGGCTGAGTTCCAGCTGACAAAGGAACAGTCAGGCACCTATTTATTCACCCTTTCATCAGCCAAAATTGCAACTAAATTAGCTACTGAATTTTATTTCCCAAGTTTTAAAATTTGATTTTATTTAATTGAAATATTTATTGAAAACTACAAAGACTATAACCCACATATGCAAGTGAGTGAGTTTCATCCCTACTATATACATACGTTCATACATGTTACAAAAAATGCGTTGGAGAAGGAAGATATAATATCTCTTCCCTTCTCCTTATTCTACTGTTATCTGTTTTGGAAGTCTATCTCAGAGGGAGAGTGTGAGCTATTGCTTTTCACTCATAGGAGGTCAGTTTCTAATCCTGTTCAGTCAGAAATGATTAAATGTGTTGATGACTTCTCATTTCAGCCCTGCTCATGGACTCAGTATAAAATCATTGTGCAATTTAAGTACAGTCTTAGCTGAGGACTCAAGATTTTCAATAGCAGTGGGGAGGCCAAAATAGGTCAGAGCCTGGGGTAAATTGGGAGCTGTATTACTGGATCTCAGCTAGAATAAGAGGTTACTGTAGGTTACGGTGGAGCTGCAATAGAGCTCACGTGGGACAAAGCTTTCACAACATTGGATTCTACTCTGTTATAATTGTCTTTCCTTTTATGGATACACACATAAATAACAGTAAGTCCAAACCAAATATATGTTCATCAAAATTCCTTTTTTGTTGTTTTGTTTTGTTGGTAAAATGGGGGCAGTGATGGGGGTGGGAAACATTTGAAATATTTCCATATCCTGCTCTTCAAAGAAGGTACCATCTTCCCATTCTATCTGTGTTTCAGATGTCCTGATTGAACATTACATAAGATGCTTAGGCATTTTAAAATATGAGGTCTATCTGACTATAAATTTGAAATTTCATTTTAGTTTTCCCGTTTTGTTTTGTTTCCTACTTCCCCAAACCTCTTTTCCCTGTTCTTCAACCAAGGGTCTGGATGCAGACAGTCTCCGTGTGGAACCATTGGGTGAAGACAATTCTGGGGCACTCTATTGGTATTTCTATGGAACACGAATGTATAAGGAGGACCCAGTGCAAGGAAAATCCAATGGAGAACTCTCTTTGAGCAGGTATAATCTGTGAGGTCAGGGCTGGGATAGCTACGATACAGAAATGTCATTAAAATTAAATACATCGGAATTCTGCAGCACAAATTTTTTTCTTCTGAAGGAGTCAGATATAACAGCATGTGTATAAAGAGTTGGCAAAGAGTTATTTCATGCAGAAATAAAAACGAATTCATAATGTAGCCTCTGCTATCAGTATGGTGAAAGATACTGTTGTTTGGACTTGAGGTTCCCAAGGAGTCCCACTGCCTTAACATAGACTGCTCTATACAGCAGGTTGCCCATAGTGCCACCACATCACTGCAGTGGTTTTCCTGTCATAATCGACTCTTGATAGCTCCTTTTTTCTACTAGAATTAACGATCTGCTTCATCAGCATAGGACCGAAAGGACCTTAAAGAATGCCTGAAATGTACGCCTTACTAAATGCTTCCTAAATGAGGAAGGGACCTTGTTTCCATAGTGTCCCAAAATAATGCTACCATCTAACTTTTTTTTTTTTGTATTAAAAAAAAAATTTTTTTAATGTTTATTTTTTGAGAGAGCGAGAGAGAGACAGAGCACGAGCAGGGGAGGGGCAGAGAGAGAGAGGGAGACACAGAATCCGAAACAGGCTCCAGGCTCTGAGCTGTCAGCACAGAGCCCGACGCGGGGCTCGAACTCAAACTGTGAGATCATGACCTGAGCCTAAGCCAGACGCTCAACCAATTGAGCCACCCAGGTGCCCCTTTTGTATTTTTTTAAATGTTTGTTTTTGAGAGAGAGCGAGAGCAGGGGAGGGGCAGAGAGAGAGAGGAAGACACAGAATCTGAAGCGGGCTCCAGGCTCCAAGCTGTCAGCACAGAGCCCAACACAGGACTTGAACTCAGGAACCCAAGATCATGACTGAGCTGAGTATCAATTCTATTACAGAACATTTTGATTTAATGTGCTATTTCGTAGGGAAAGTGAAGGCCAAAAAAGTGTCTTAGCTGTTCCTGGGAAAACCGGAAAAAGAAGAGGAAGACCCCCAAAACGGAAGAAAGTACAGGAGGAGATTATAGTGAGGTAAGACATTCGTGTTAGTCTATGAGGGTCATAAACCCGCACACTAGAAGGGGCCTTAATTCACTTGCTCTTTCATCCTTGATTTTCCTTCGTGCCACTGGAAGGATATAGGACTTAGATTATGAAGGCTTGGGTCAGAATCTTCATAAAATTACCACGTGTACACTAGGGCTTCCCTAGCTGCATGAACTACCCTCTCTAAGCCTATTCTTTTACTGGACAGTAGGTCTACTACTAATAATAAGGATTAAGTTGAACAGGATAATGAATGTAACAGTATAAATGACTGAAAACCATGCATGACCTACAGAAAGTGCTCAATATGTATTAACTTTCAAAATTGGTTGTGCCACACGTTTTTTCATAGGAGTGTAGAGCTAAGTTAATTCTGGTTAACTGTTGACTAATAATCAGGATTTAATAGGTTTATATATCCTATATAAGTTTAAGAGTTAATTCTTTCCCTATAAGGAGATTTTAGTAGCAAATATGTTTTATTGTGTTTAGAATACAATTTCCTATGGTAAACTACAGGTAAGAGCTTAATCTTAGCAAGGAAACAGATTGTTACATATGGGAAATTTTGTTTTATACATCGTGATCTTTTAGGAAATTTTACCATGTGAATTTTAATGTAAGAATTTTGAAAATCTGGCCTATACTGTATAAATATATTTTCTTTAAGGATCAGATCTATCATTCTATACCTATGGAAGTTAAGTCATTTTCTTAAAAATTCTAATAACAGAGGACAAACCACTTCTTTTCTCTAAATTATAGAACTACTAAATAATCTAAATGCTTGAAGTAGGCCAGATTTCTCTTTGTTGCTTATTAACTACTAAGAAGTATTTATTTCTAGGAATCATTATGAATAAATCAGTCAGAATTCGATTTTTTTTTTAACTTAAGAATCAGTGTTCCACTTAACTTTCCAGGAATTTGATTACAAAGCATAGCTTTCCTCTATTGGTTTTGTGAGAGATGTTTTATAATCATGTTGTATACACATGGCATCCATTTCAGAGTTTTGTTAGCAGTCTAGACTTTCTTATAGATTCAGGAAGCTATTTTATACCTATCTCCATTTCCCTGTTCAGTACCAACAATTAAGGTATCTTACTATGAGGATTTTAGAATCATTTTAACATCATATGTGGACTTGTGCTACCCTCTGCTGGTGATTTTATTCTTTAGAGCTCTGTATGCAGTACAGTATTTGTATATTTTTAAATTAAATAAAATTGAAAATTCAGTTCCTCAGTCATACCAGCTACATTTGAAGTACCCAGTAGCCACATATGGCTCATGGCTACCATACTGGACAGTGACAATACAGAACATTTTCATCCTCGCAGAAAGTTCTATAGAGCAGCACTATTATAGATAATTGAAAACAAACAGAAGGCCATAGAGAGTGACCTACATGATTCAGGTATACAAATGATGATGATACTTAACACTATTTCACTGAACACTTCTGTATTTCATAATTTAATCTCCAACATCCCTGTGATGTAGGCATTATTTATAGCCTATTTTAAGGAAAGTTAATTAACTTTCCTGAGGTCACATGGTAAGAGGCAAGCCTTGAATGGGGACAGTCTGACTTTAGAGCCTGCATTCTTAACCTCTACCTTAATATGAGGTTAAATTAAACATGCTTTTCTTCAGTATAGCCCTGATCAGGGAGGAAGACACTAGAATCCCTATTATTTAGGGCAGGGCAGATGGGGCAGGCATTTAACTGGTAACACTTAACTCCTCTGTTTGACTTCCAAAAAAATGTTTTAAAACCTAATATTTTCCTGTACATAAAGTGTTATCATTACACTGGATTTCTCTATGACAGTCTTTCCCCTCAATACCAACACACCGACATCCTGGTATTCATTTATTCAGTAGAGTCATTCCTCCTCCTGACTTTGTCCCATTGAAACACACACACCCTTGTATTAATATTAATTGGGTCTAACTTAACAGGGGAAGTACAGAACAATTTTGAACATGTCTTTGTTTTAATTGGTGCCTCCTTTCCCTGTGTTTCAGTGAAAAACAGGAAGAAAACTCCTTGGCATCCGAGCCACAGACAAGAAATGGTAATGACTTTTGTTGGAGTTTAGAAAAGATTGGGGCACCTGAGTGGTAGCTCATTCAGTTAAGCATCTGACTCTTGATTTCAGCTCAGATCACCATCCCAGGGTTGTGGGATCCAGCCCCACATCAGGCTCCACACTGAACATATGTTTAGCCTGCTTAGGAGTCTCTCTCTCTCTCTCTCTCTCTCTCTCTCTCTCTCTCTCTCTCTCTCTCTCTGCCTCTGTGCCTATCTCTATCTCTACACCCCCCCTTTCCCTCCCCACCCCATGCATGCCTGTCTCCCGCACTCATGCTCTCTTGCTAAGATACAAAAATAACTAGAAAAGATTAAGTAAATATGATTGATTTATATTATGATGACAGCTCTTTTTCCGGAGCCATGCAAAGCAATTAAGATTATTGCAGTAACCTCCTAACTGGTTTATTTGCCCTTCAGTTCTCTCTTCCTCACACTTACCTGTGCCTATCTCTCCATCTGATGGATAACTTCAGATCTTCACTTGTGCTTTCTAACCTGGGCACAGTGTAATGGGCACATTACATTTGGATAAATGAGCAACTTCTCAAAGACCTATCTTTTTAATGTAAAATGCTATGTAAGGGATTATATTGGATTCCTAACCAGATTTCAGTTCCATAATCCAAATTGCCTAAAACTGGGAGTGGGAGAGGAATATCAATTTATATACAGTATGTCAACATAAATGAAACAGGAAGACTGCAGAAGATCAAATCAGAACCTTTTGAATAGAAAAGTAAGTATATTTAAGCATTTCTATTAAAATCTGTAATTACGATGGTCACAATACTTTTAGGTGTAAATAGTAACAGGAAAATCAAAATTATACATTATCAACTTTTTAAAATTAATACCCTTTTTAAAAAATTTTTTTAAATTTCCTGGTTTTTTTCATACCCAGGGGGGGAATGAAATTGAGAATTAACAGAAAAAAGGTCCTAGTGGTATCTATCTAATGAACCTATCCTTTCGTTTTTAGGGTCCCAAGGGCCAGGTCAAGGGACCTGGTGGCTCCTGTGCCAAACAGAAGAAGAATGGAGACAGGTCACTGAGAGTTTTCGGGAGAGAACCTCTCTTCGAGAACGGCAGCTCTATAAGCTCCTCAGCGAGGACTTCTTGCCTGAGATCTGCAACATGATTGCCCAAAAGGTATGCAAATAGGTGGTTCCTCCTCTTTAGTAGCTATAAAGCTGCTTTATTTAAGGATGATTCATTAAGTTTTGAATACATTTCTAGTGTCTCCTGGAAGTGCTACAAGCCCTTCACTTTGATCTGGAATGTTAAAAAGGGACCTCATGCCACCCACTCTCCTTCACTGTGGATCATCCAGTATTCTCCTTAGCCCCACAAAATCCTCAGTGACTCGCATTCCATAGTACTTAGGATGGCTTTTCACAGTTTAGAACCAACTTCCCTTCTATAACATTCCTCAGAAAGTGTTCCCCAAGCCCCCAGGTGTATCTCCTATCAGCCTGTGCAAACTTGTGTATATATATATGCTGCTTTTTTGGTGGGGGGGGCAGAAATCCTCTCTCTCCCAGTAAGCAGCAAGTTCTGAAGGGTATTTGTCTTTGTAGCTCCAGGTCCACTCTGCCAGCTCCATATGTGTGATGCTTTTTCCGGTTTCACATTATAGTTCCATAAATCACACTTTCTATATTTTCATGCATATACACCCTCATGTATGCCTTTTTTTTTTAAATGTTTATGTTTAAGAGAGACAGAACTGGAGTGGGGGAGGGGCAGAGAGAAGAGGGAAACACAGAATCTGAAGCAGGCTCCAGGATCCGAGCTGTCAGCACAGAGCCTGATGTGGGGCTCGAACCCACGGACTGTGAGATCATGACCTGAGCCAAAGTAAGACGCCCAACCACCTGAGCTACCCAGGTGCCCTGTCTTTTCTCAAGCATCTTTCTCCTTCCACTTCCCTGCCTATTTGAATACTACTCTTTGTAAGATCTCCCGTGTCTCCTAATTTTAGGATTTTCTCCCTTATGTTTTTTTTCTTTTAATGTTTATGTATTTTTGAGAGACAGCGAGCAGGGGTGGGGGAGGGGCAGAGAGAGAGAGAGAGAGAGAGAGAGAGGGAGACAGAGGATCCGAAGCAGGCTCTGTGCTGTCAGCGCAAAGCCTGACACAGGGCTCGAACCCACAAATCATGAGATCATGACCTGAGCTGAAGTCATATGCTCAACTGACTGAACCACCCAGGCGCCCCTACCTAACACATTTTGTCATGACTTAATTCTGTTTTGAGTTGTTTAAGCTTTGTTTAGATTAGGCACCATATCTCACTGTTTTAAACCCCATAACACCTAATGTAAAGCCTTTTCCATGGTGGATGCTCAAGAGTCATTGACTTTGCTTATTTCATTGCAATAATTCTAATACTTCTGACTGTTGCACATGTTCATAGAAGTCAGAAAATTTTGACCACCTGCCACTGAAATCTGAAGAGAAAGAATAAATTAATTGCTGTAGCACCTCCAGGGAAAAACAGAAGGAGAAATATATTAATTTGTTGTGAATCCAGTGATATTTCTAACTTTTCTAAGTGGGTTGGTGCTTTAAAAGGAAAAATGTAGAAAGTCACCATTCTTATTAGAGATCTTATAGAGTGCTTCAGTAATTACATTTTCACGGATGAGCAAAAAAAGAATCTCCATTTCCCCATCACCATACTTAATTCTATATACTATAATTATACTTAAGTTTGTGACCTGCTACCCACTGTGACAATTTTTCCAGGAATTGAAACACATAATCTGATTTTTTTTTAACTTTATTTTTTTTTTGAGAGAACACTTGTGAGAGCAAGTGATAGAGGAGCAGAGAGAGAGAGAGAGAGACAGAGAGAGATTGAATCCCAAGCAAGCTTTGCACTCAGCGCAGAGCCCAACACGGAGCTCAATCTCACGATCTTGAAATCGTGACCTGAGCTAAAATCAAGAATGGGAAGCTTAACCAAGTGAGCTACCCAAGCACCCTTAATCTAATTTTCTTAAAGTAACTATTATATGGAGATGGTTTTATAACTTTCGTGACTTTACGTGAGCTCACTTTACGTGAGCCACCTGGGTGGCTCAGTCGGTTAAGCGTCCGACTTCAGCTCAGGTCATGATCTCACGGCCCGTGAGTTTGAGCCCTACATCGGGCTCTGTGCTGACAGCTCGGAGTCTGGAGCCTGCTTCAGATTCTGTTTCTCATTCTCTCTCTGCCCTTCCCCCGCTTGTGCTCTGTCTCTCTCTGTCTTTCAAAAATAAGTGAATGTAATCTCTGCATCCATTGTGTTCAATCCCTTGACCCGAAGATCAGCGGTCACACGTTCTACCAACTGAGCCAGCCAGGTGCTCTTATAATTTCTGCTTTTTTACTGCAGTGTTCAACCTATGATTTTTTTGAATAGATGAACTAAGAAAAAAAACTTACAAGCATAAAACTGATGGTTTTGATGGGAAAAATTTCAAAAGTTATTCTTTGCAAGAAAAGAAAAATTTTTAAAATAAGATAAACATGAATTATAATTCTCAAGAAACATGAAATTACAAGCCAAATAATAACAGATTTGGTATTTTGAAAGGCGTATAGTGCTATAAATTAGCAAACCTTAGTAAAATAGGGTATTGATTACAAAAACAAGAGAATCTAAATTGTGCAGTAGAAAAATCTAAGGGGCACCTGGGTGGCTCAGTCTGTTAAGTGTCCGACTTCAACTCAGGTCATGATCTTGCGGTTTGTGAGTTCAAGCCCCATGTCGGGTTCTGTGCTGATAGCTCAGAGCCTGGAGCCTGCTTCGGATTCTATGTCTCCCTCTCTCTCTGTCCCTTCCCTGCTTGCTTACTCTCTCTCTGTCTTTATCTCTCTCAAAAATTTAAAAATTTTAAAAATGAAGAGAAAAATCTTAGCAGTTCAGTAATTAGGGGAAAAGAGTTATCACAAAGGGATCCCATCAAAAACTCCAGAATCAGGGGCGCCTGGGTGGCACAGTCGGTTAAGTGTCCGACTTCAGCTCAGATCATGATCTCGTGATTTGTGAGTTCGAGCCCCGCGTCGGGCTCTGTGCTGACAGCTCAGAGCCTGGAGCCTGCTTTGGATTCTGTGTCTCCCCTTCTATCTGCCCCTCCCCTGCTTGTGCTCTGTCTCTGTTTCTCAATAATAAATAAACATTTTTAAAAATTAAAAACAAAAAACAAAAAAAATTCCAGAATCACTTGAATGTATTCACAGGTAAATTTTTCTAAACCCTTAAAATAAGATAACTTCTAAACATTTCAAAAATGAAGAAAGAAATGGGTAGCTACCCTTGTTCATTCAGATACAGATATCTTAGATTCCTATTCTTCATATAAACACACCCTCTTCATTCAGTAATATAAATGTCAAGTCCTTAATACTAACAAATAAAAGCCATCCTTCACCAAAAGAATAATAATTCTTTTGTTCCTAATAATCCCTAGGTTCTAATATTGGTAACATTGTCTTGGAAGTTTTATCTAGTATAATGATACAAACAAGAGTCAGAGGCAAAACATTTTGTCTGGAGGAATATGATGAATCTGCTTAGAAGTCTGTTAATTAGAAGTTAGTAATAGTGCTGGGTAACTAGACTTTCTGCATCAGAATCACATTGCAAACTTATTAAAAGCTCAGATTCTTGCCAGTATACCACTCCCAACCCCTATCAGAATTGTTAGAGGTGTTATTTGTTAATATGCAGTTGTAGAAGCTCTCAGGTGATTATTAGGCATACTGATATTTAAAGATTGCTGAAAAAATCCCATATACAGTAGCAACAAAACAAATTTTGCTGTGAAACTAACTTGAGTCGTACATGGTTGATAAGAAAGAAAAAGCTACAGAACTGTTAGTAGATATATATTTTTTAAATCTCAAGTAAAAGTAGATATATATTTTTTAAATCTCATGTAAATATTTTAAGATCTCTGTTCCTAGAAGGAAAGATTTTTTTTTTAATTTTTTTTTTTTTTTTAACGTTTATTTATTTTTGGGACAGAGAGAGACAGAGCATGAACGGGGGAGGGGCAGAGAGAGAGGGAGACACAGAATCGGAAACAGGCTCCAGGCTCTGAGCCATCAGCCCAGAGCCTGACGCGGGGCTCGAACTCACGGACCTCGAGATTGTGACCTGGCTGAAGTAGGACGCTTAACCGACTGACTGCGCCCCCCAGGCGCCCCGAAAGATTTTTTTTTTAAGTTTATTTATTTATTTTGAGAGAGACAGCACGAGTGGGGAAGAGACAGAGAGAGAATCCCAAGCAGGCTCTGCACTGTCAGCACGGAGCCCAACATGGATCCATGCTCGAACCCACGAAACTGTGAGATCATGACCTGAGCCAAAACTGAGAGTTGGACGCTTAACCAACTCAGCCACACAGGCGCCATGAAAAGATGCTTAGATATCAATATTCACCAAGATAAATTGAGATTTATTATAGCCTTAGCCAAATCCCAAGATAATAAAAATTTTTCTCCAAAATAACAGGTGGATAAAAAGTATTGTAAAATAGGAGTGTTAGGAGAGGTGGATAAGAAGCATATGTATTATCACTTAAATCAGCATATTGGAAGCATTCTGAAGGGTCCTTCATGTAACAGACATGCTTATCATAAATGATTTACTCAAGGCAGTACAAATGTACCAATCTTCACGGTCTTTGCTGAACTTGACATTTAGCAGTTTTTTTTAACGTTTATTTAGTTTTGAAAGAGAGCGAGAGAGACAGAGTGAATGGGGGTGGGGCAGAGCGAGGGGTACAGAGGATCCGAGGCAGGCTCTGAGCTGACAGCAGCAAGCCCGATGTGGGACTTGCACTCACGAACTGTGAAATCATGACCTGAACCAAAGTCGGATGCTCAACAGACCTAGCCACTCAGGTGCCTTGGCATTTAGCATTTAAGACATATGTTCATCAACATTTGTAATATTTTTACAAATGTGTTTGTGTTTATTGTACTTGTTACAGTAATTACACAAATATTATGAAGTCAATAAAATATGAGCATAAAAATTTCTTTGAAAATTTTCCATTAAAAAAAATCATTGAATATGAGTTGCTTTAAAAACTTGACTCTCTAGGGGCGCTTGGGTGGCTCAGTCAGTTAAGGGTCTGACTTCAGCTCAGGTCATGATCTCCAGTTTGTGGGTTTGAGCCCCGCATCAGGCTCTGTGCTGACAGCTCAAAGCCTGGAGCCTGCTTCAGATTCTGTATCTCTCTCTCTCTGCTCCTCCCCTGCTCACTCTCTTTCTCTCTCTCAAAAAATAAATAATAAACATTTCTTTAAAAAGTTGACTCTCAGGGCAGTGCACCTAGCTGGCTCAATCAGGAGAGCATGTGACTCTTAATCTCGGGGCTGTGAGTTCAAGCCCCATGTTGGGTGTAGAGTTTATTTTAAAAATAAAAAATAAAAAGCTAATTCTCAAATTAGAGCAAAGCAGTAAAAGATTGAATAGGACAAAAATCATTAAAATGATAAGGTTTCTGCATATGGATTACAAATCCAATCTCCTTAACATCTCACTTTCACTTAAACAAAACTGGTAGGACAGATAATGGCTTAAGAGGTTAATTTATATGACTGACTCATAGGAAACCCCTCTCAATGGGGTACTGCATCATATGATTGGTGAATGGCAGTACATTTATACATTAAGTAAAATACATGCTTGAAGTATATACATTTTTTAAATTCCTTGCTTTAACTATGTTACCCTACTACTACCCATCCTAATTATGTTGTCCAAGAGAGATTTTTTTTTTGTAATAATGAAAAATGCTAGTGATTCAAATGTGACATTTGAAACATATTATCAGTAGAACATAATGTGGTGCTCACAGATACACCCATTATATATAAAATACAGTATGGGAACGCCTGGGTGGTACAGCTCAGTTGGTTAAGCATCCAACTCTTGATTTCAGCTCAGGTCATCATCTCAGTACGTAAAAGCACAAAACAGCTAGGACAGTGGACAGAGGGTTAATATGGCATAGCAGGAGTTAAGAGCTTTTCTTTCAAACTTCATTGAATAATGGTGCTTCCCTTTTCTAGTTATCCCTTTGGATAAGTTACTTGATATCTCTAAATTTTTATTTTTTGTTAGTAAAATGAAAGCTCTAACTTCACAGAAGTTTCTATGGGAATTAAGCAAAAGAAACCACATCAGTGTACCTGGCATAGTACACAGCTACCAGTAGGTACTTGTCCCATCCATTGTTCATGGTTGTAGATAATTGGTGAGAAACCTTGGTAGAAAACTAAATCTTACCAAAATAAATGCAAGTGTGAAGAAAGTTAAAACAGATTAATAAATAAATAATTCTCTAAATGTTGAAATAATAAAAGAATCAGTAAGCTTTCTTTGACCATATAAAAGTTAAGCTTTTATGGTAAGGTTTAAATAAAAGATCTAAGCTAGTAAAAGTATTTGTTACTAATATTACAGGCAGTAATATTTAAACAGCTTATAAACATTAGGTCTTTAACAAATGAATTGCCTTAGAGTATAGATAATTCACACAAAAGAGTAAAGTTGTAGGAAAACAAGTTCATCTTCTTTATCAAGACTACCATTAGTCTCCACATTAGTAACTTTTGTCTGATTTGGCAAAGTTTGGAGTCAAGTTGATATTAGCCGCTATTGCTACTAGCATGGTAAACTCGTACAATCCCTTCAAAAGAGAATTCCATGGTAAATTTTCACATTTACTTAAAATTGAAGAGCTCTTCCTCTTGGGGTCTTTAAGCTCGTAAAGGAGTCGCTCATAGGCATATTTGAGGAAACTGCTGTGGTAGCTTTTGTGAAAAAGAGGGTCGTGACACTTTGACGGTTAGATTACATTTGTACTGAGGCCTGGTCATTCTCCTAACAGGAAAGCTTTCTAAAGCTTCTTTTTAAATCTACCACAATTGCTTTGCAGTATGTTTGCATTGTATAGACCACACCTTTTTGTCACTGACTTTTTTTTCTACCCTTTGTGCCTTTACCTCATTGATTCTTCAAGTTTCAAGACTTTGGATTAAGTGGTACTGGAACCAAACCTGGGTAATGCTGATACTGATACTGAAGCCACAAAATTACTCATCTTAACTGCAAAGCCTTTGCTTACCACCTCAATATAGGTTACATTGGCGAAGCTATGGGGCTCATTCCACAAAAATTCCAAAACTTATGCTGACCTTAGGTAAATACCTAGCATTAGTTAAGTTTCAAAACTCCTTTCTTGAAATGTCCTATAGTGATTGCTTTCAAGCTTTTAAATTTTGTCAAGTCTAATCTTCTCAGGCAAGCTCTCTGATTTCTGGTCCCTGAGTCTTTTTCCCCACTTCTGTCTTGCTACTTTGGTTCTCAGCTGAGGCAGCCACCCTCACTTCTCACTGCTGCCACTGAGCTGCCTTTTAGGGGAGTTCTGCCTCCATCTGCTCGTAATGCCTCCTTTCAGAGCCATTCCCTTCAGTGAAAAGTGGTAAAACATGGCTTTCTCTTAATAATTTGCAACAAAATATTTTTTTTTAGTGTCTAAATAGTTAAAAGAGTTTCTTGCCAGTGATGAAGATTGATAGAGGAGACACTTGGTGTCTGTAAGTTTTTTGCTTTTTGTTTTTTTCTTTTTTTCTTTTAAGAAAATAAACTGGCTTGGTACCTTATGGAATTGAATAGTCATTTTATTGACTGTCCAAAGGATACCTTTGGCTCTTATTTAGGTAAAGCCGTAACCCATGTGCCTTAAAGGCCACTCTAATCCTGGCAGCAGCAGTAGCAGTAGCTGAGAACACCCTAATCTGTCTTTTCCTTTCTTTTCCTCACTTCTAACTATAGGGAAAGCGTCCACAGCGCACAAAGGCAGAATTGCAGCCTAGGTGGATGTCTGACCACCTGTCCGTCAAATCCATCAAGCAAGAGGTGAGTGTGTGTGAGAGTAGAGAGGAGTTTTAAGTGTTCAAAAGGATTGGTCCATTTTTATTTCAGGTACTCCTTTTATTCCTACTTTTTAATTTACCTTTACCTCAATTTCTAAATCTCAGACTTTTATGGAGCATTCTTATACATGAGATGCACTTTTAGAAAAAGAAGTCATTGAAAAGTAAGATATGACATTGCACTCTTTTGGATCTTAACAATTAATTTCCAGTGATGATAAACATATACATATCTAATATAGGTGAGAATGATAAGCACTATAATAGATATCTATGTAGTAGAAATTCATCGGGGCGCCTGGGTGGCGCAGTCGGTTAAGCGTCCGACTTCAGCCAGGTCACGATCTCGCGGTCCGTGAGTTCGAGCCCCGCATCAGGCTCTGGGCTGATGGCTCGGAGCCTGGAGCCTGTTTCCGATTCTGTGTCTCCCTCTCTCTCTGCCCCTCCCCCGTTCATGCTCTGTCTCTCTCTGTCCCAAAAATAAATAAACATTGAAATTCATGACTGCAAAAATGGAAAAAATTAGTAGTGGGCAAAGAAAGGGGAGTTGAGGCAAGCAGAACTATACTTCACCTGAACCTTGGAGAATGACTAAGATTTTGATGGTGGATAGTGGGGGCAGAAGAGTAATACACAAGAATAATATAAACAAAGCACAGAGGCATGATGATATATAAATGTGGTAAAAGAACAGTATATATTTGGATGTGTCTGGCATATAAGATGTGTTGTTATATATAGTGGAAGAAAATGCCAGAATGATGAAATTTTTGAGTCTCCGGACTCTCAAGCTTATATTTTCAGTAGACAGGCAGTAGTTAGTGAGGTTATGTCATTAGAGCTTTGTTTTAGGAAGCTACCTTTCTGGTCACACCATGATAAATGATTTTTTAAGGAAACACTGGAAAGTAAGAAATCCATTAGCAGTGTACTTCCAGCAGGAAAGAATAGTGGAATCCCTGCTACTGAAAATGTAGGTCTAAAATGGAGGAAATGAGGGGTGCTTGGGTGGCTCAGTTGGTTAAGTGTCTGACTTCAGCTCAGGTCGTGATCTCACAGTTCGTGAGTTCGAGCCCTGTGTTGGGCTTGTGCTGACAGCTCAGAGCCTGGAGCCTGCTTCAGATTTTGTGTCTCCCTGTCTCTCTGCCCCTCCTTCTCTCTCTTCTCTCAAAAATAGATAAACATTTAAAAT